TTTCTTATTGTGAAATACTCTGGTTTTGCTTTAGTCTTCTACACTTCAGCAATCAATTCTAAAAGATTCTAGTGATAGTAAATTCTGAATCAGAATTACTTCCAATTAAGCTTTCTGATAACTGCTAATCTTTGTGCTTCCTTTCCTGAGAAGACAAGGCGGTGACGGTTATTTTTTTTCTGGTATTATTAGCTAATGTTTCATCAGAGTTGTATGTGAAGTGATGGGGAATTCTGTATGGCTAATTCATACACGTCTGGTATGAAAATACAAACCTTTGCTTACATTTAACAGAGCATGCCATACTGTTTCTCAAATAGCATATGTCTCTTCCAGTATAATATGCTGTTGCTGATTTATGTTAGGCCTTGTTTTATTAACAGATTTAAACACTCAAATATTATTTTACAAGCAAACAATGATCTTTTTATCAAGTACAGGTAGCGTTCTGTGCTGTTGATATGCTGTTACTATGGCTGATAATTGGAGGTTTTTAAATGGTTTATGATCATGCTTTAGGGAAGATTTAGTGTGGAATGTAAAGGTCACAATCACATCATATAGAAACTGGGCCCGACACTTTTCTCAGCAAAGACTGGACTAGCAAAGTTAAAGAATTCTTGTGTCATATATGATTTGGGTGGGAAATGGGCAAGAAAATTTAAATTGCTGTCAGCTGGGAATCCCAGCTTCGCAACAGCCAGGGGTTTTGTAACATATTCATTGGAAATTTGAGTAAGTACATTATCCTTTCTTTTTGTGTAGGGTTATAAGCAAGCTGTTAGTGCCTTAAGTGACACCAGCCTTGAATGAAATGTTTTACAGTACATCAGTGAACTGGCCTTTTGCTGTTGGAGATGGTTGTAGAAATGGATACTTGAGCCAGTGATATACTGTCACGTGCTTAAAAACATACTTGCAGCTTAGGGGAATGTACTCAATCATTCCTTATACAGATATCAGAATGTATAAGTTATTCTTATCTCTTTTTCTTCTGTGTCCAAGAAAGAAAAAAAAAAACCAAAGTGTGCATTCCTACACTGGGAAACTAGACAGTGTTGATACATGCAGCAGAATTTGGCCAGATAGGAAATACAACCTAGTGAAGTTTAAATATGGTTTATTAACCTCAACAGCCCCAAATACTACAGCTGTTAGTCAGACCAGTGTGTAAACATTTTGAAATTACTTCTGCAGGTACTTTGATCTTTAACTTGATCTAAAATACGGGGTAAGAGCTATAAAATATAGACATTATAAACTCTCAAAAAAGGAGAGGTTTTAAATTGAATTCTTTGGCTACTGGCCATGTTTCCATTCTCCCGGCTGAATGAGTGTACTGATGTGGAAGGATACCTTATATAGATGAGAAAATTTAAATCTGTGTATAGCAGTCTTAATAAGAGGTTCAGGCAGTTAATTGGAACGCTGCTACATCATGACCCCAAAATACAAATCCTGGGCAAGTGAAAGACACTGTTTCAAGTCAAGTTTCAGTTCAGTGTCCATTCAAAGCTTAGATAGTAAAATCACTTTTCTTTCCTGTTACTTGAACTGTGTCATGTCTGTATTGGGATTTCTTCTAAGGATTTTTACTGGTTTATATGGCTTTTATTTTTGCCTCCTCTCTGAGGCAGTGCAAAGCTTTGCTGTCCAGTCTCCTAGATGTTTTCATTTCTTCTTACCATTGCCTTATGCACATTTTACCATCCTCTTTCCTAGTCATTCTCTTTTTTCCCTTACTGTTTTCAAGTCATCTTTTCTGTGTCCCGTAAGCACACAGTGTCATCATACCCTCGTTATTTGACTAAGCCTTAAAATATTCTTCTGCAAAACTGAAATCATAGTTCATGCGATATTCTATATCAAGAAATCCATGGTGAAACAACATTTATCTTTCTCTTTTAGGTTCTGATACCGAAAAGGACTTAATCCTTTATTTAATATTAAGCCAGAGAAACTACATTTGTCCTTCTCCATACTGGGGTTCTGGTTGAACCCACAATAGCTCCATACTTGATTTTACCATTGTCCTCCTTGTACCCACTTCCAGTTTTCACTTTCAGGTGGGCAGTTTCACATAACACACTCGATTTTCTATGGTGCCTATTGCTATTCTTGTTTGTTTAGTAGTTTGTGTATCTGTGGCACTATAAAAATAATGTTGTGCAAAGAGCATTGAAAAATATATTTCTTGCAGAATGAAGGAATTAGTATTTATAGTAATGAAGCATTTTCAGCAACTGGCTGTACTTTGTGCATCAAAGTTCAAATTCAGATGGTGGAAATCCCGCTGCAGTAGCTTTGCTTGTAGCTAGTAAGAATTGCAGTTAGCGTCACTATATCTGTTAACTGAATTGTTTATAGTTTTCTGATTTATTAATTGCTTTCAGTTCTGATCTACAGCGGTTTGCCTTTTAATATCAGTACTACCACATGTGATCTCCTACTAGGTGAAAGCTAATCACCTGTCTCACATTTGTGGTGTTGATCAAAGCTTTGCTGCTGTTTCCAGAGGTGTGAGTAAGACTAAAAGGAGCTCTTTCCATATTACCAGAAGGGAATGCAGCACACAAAGTTAATATGTAGGAGAGGAAGATTTCAGACTTGGTTTATAACCTAGTTTGCATTCTTGTTTGGGAACCTGGGCTATCTACCGAATATTTGCACTATGTTTATTTGCCTGGTTTCACCATCATCTCTTCCCACTTTTACTTGTAGGTTAGTCACCTATTCCAGAGAGAATCAGAACAATGTCCTACGTTTTTGTGAACGACTCTTCCCAGACAAATGTGCCACTGCTGCAGGCTTGCATTGATGGAGATTTTAACTATTCCAAACGACTGTTAGAGAGTGGTTTTGATCCAAATATTCGTGACAGCCGAGGCCGAACTGGTCTTCACCTTGCTGCGGCCAGAGGAAATGTAGACATCTGTCAACTCTTGCACAAATTTGGTGCTGACCTACTAGCCACTGATTACCAAGGTAACACAGCCCTTCACCTGTGTGGGCATGTGGATACCATCCAGTTCCTAGTTTCTAACGGACTTAAAATTGATATTTGGTAAGTCACTTTTGGGTTTTTTCTACAGTACATGTAATATATTAGTCTTCTGTTGCCAGAGCCATGCATATAAATCTGCTGTTGCTGAAATGCTATGTTAGGTGCAATTCAACTTTTTTAAAATATCACTTAATAAAAACATAAAATAAGAAGGCAGGAAAACAATAAGACACCACTTCTGCTAGTTTGTGCAACAAGCAAAGCAAACAAAAATAGCAGCTGCTGGTGTGGGCTGCTGTGTCTAATTCTGTCTCACTGATGACATTGCTATCCTGGTTTGGCCAGACAGCCAGGTGTGGGTGGTTGGCACCAAAGAAAAAATCACATTGACTACTTAAAAAGAATTTTCTCCACCACATTTCTATTGTTTTGATTGTTGCACTGTATAAGACAAAGAAAATACAGTATATGTGTGTGTCAGTTCATTCCCATGCTCCCTTGGTAACAATGCTTCCTTTCAGTGTTTTCCCTCTCCCTCAAAGTCTGTGAGTCAGTCCTTTTAAATATTGTATATTCTTTCCTTCTCGCTTCCAGCAGCTGTCAGATGCCAGTGCTCAGATGTAAGCTCTCAAGCTGCAAAATAACTAGCTGTTTCATTGCAGTAACTGAATTACTTTGTTTGTGGAACTTTCTGTACATTCACAATGTGTGCAAAACCCAGTAGTAACTTTAAAACATTTGAGTTTTTTAATCTGTCCCTTTTTCACCTGTCCTTCATTAATATTTTCAACTTGGCAAAACTAGTTATTGACAGACCAGATTCTTTGTGGGTTGGCGTTTTTTTTTTTTCCTCGTTTCAAAGAACTCTGTTGAAAATCCCTGGTCTGAAGGCAGCTCTGGTCCTGTTCAGTATTACTTTAATAGTAGCAGAGTAGCAGAATACCACCTGTATTTTATTTCATTTTTGTCTGATATCCTAATACCCACATGGAGAGGGCCTCTGTAACAAAGATATGCAGGAGAGTAGTAAAGATCACTACAGAGTTCAGAATCTAAATTATATTGGTTAGTTTCCATTTTATTCATCAGAATTTATTTTTAAATCATAATTTGTTGTTTTATTAACAAGAGCTATGCCCCTTAGGGTTTTACCTTATGCTTCATTAGATTTTACTAAGCCATATTTAGTAGGAATTATGAGGACTGACTTTTGACGGCTTCTAGGTGGCAAGCCTGCAAACTCAGTGCGGTTGTACAGACGCAAATAATTCTCTTTACCCAGGTTAATAAAACATCCTTTCAACTAAATTAAGTTTAGAGTTAGAAATCTTTTGACTCTGGTGAAAATTCCTGGTCTGAAGGCAGCTCTGGTCCTATTCAGTATTATTTTAATAGTAGCAGAGTAGCAAAATACCATCTGTATTTTATTTCTTTTTTGCGTGATGTCCTAATACTCACTTGGAGAAGGAACTATGAGGAACCAGATTGTACAACTCCTTCTTGAAATTAAGCTCAATCTTGAATATTTTTTGTTATAACACCCAGAGATTTCAATTAGATTAGAGTAATAGGAATTTTTATTTTATTTAGAGGAAAAAGACTTGTGGAATTTCAAGCCTAAACATACTGATTTTCTTCTATAGCCAATTATGCTATAACTTGTATATATAGGAATTTTTTACTGTCTGATATAACAGAAAATAGTTCTGAGGACTTACTAAATTGTAATGTGTTACGCTGAGTTGTCTTCTTATAAAATTTCTATATTAAAAGTTTATTCTTATGTCCTTTTGTGGTGTTATTTTAGCAACCATCAAGGTGCAACACCGCTTGTTCTTGCAAAACGAAGGGGTGTGAATAAAGATGTCATTAGACTGCTGGAATCTTTAGAGGAGCAAGAGGTGAAAGGATTTAACAGAGGAGCTCACTCAAAGCTGGAAACAATGCAAACTGCTGAAAGCGAAAGGTATTTACAAAACAAAAAATAATTACTAGGAGAAATAATGTTTATGGATGTTAGATTTTTGTGATTAACTTGATTCCTCAAAACAGATAATATCAAATTTGGCTTAGTATTATCAGACCAAATCAAAATCAAATTTTAAATTTGGGAAAAATCTCATTAAATACATGAAATTTAAGGGAAAAAAAATTCTATTGATATTTTCATTTTATGGTAGAAATTTTTAAAAATAATTATTTGTTTTTCATTACAGACTCACAAACATAAATATTCTACCACTTATCACAAAGCCAAATGGAAAATGGGGTGAAATGCAAAATGCCAATACCATAGGCTAGCCTACAATCCTTTTGATAAGACAGATTGTCTATGCAAAGAAGGGGTAGCAGACTTTTCATCTATCTGAAGTTGAATAAAGGATTTTTTGTGCTGCCATATATGATGTAGTAGTAGACCTTGAAATGATGGAGAATAAAGTAAGAATTTTATGGATAAAGAGATAGTTAAAGGAGAACTGAAGATTTCAGGAAAATTGCTGACAGTTTCAGGGAAAGTACTGGGTTAGAGGGAAGTTACTAAAAAAGATCTGGACAGGCTGGATCAATGGGCCAAGGTCAAATAAGGCCAAGTGCTGGGTCCTGCACTTCGGCCACAACAACCCCATGCAACGCTACAGGCTTGGGGAGGATTGGCTGGAGAGCAGCTCGGCGGAAAAGGACCTGGGGGTGCTGGTTGACAACCGGCTGAACATGAGCCGGCAGTGTGCCCAGGTGGCCAAGAAGGCCAACAGCATCAGCAACAGTGTGGCCAGCAGGAGTAGGGAACTGATCGTGCCCCTGTACTCGGCACTGGTGAGGCCGCACCTTGAATCCTGTGTTCGGTTTTGGGCCCCTCACTACAAGAAGGACACTGAGGTGCTGGAGCGTGTCCAGAGAAGGGCAACAAAGCTGGTGAAGGGTCTGGACAACAAGTCTTACGAGGAGCGGATGAGGGGACTGGGGTTGTTTAGCCTGGAGAAAAGGAGGCTGAGGGGAGACCTTATCGCTCTCTACAACAACTGAAACGGGTCTGTGGTGAGGTGGATGTTGGTCTCTTCTCCCAAGTAACTAGCGATAGAACGAGAGGAAATGGCCTCAAGTTGCGCCAGGGGAGGTTTAGACTCAATATTAGGAAAAATTTCTTTACTGAGGGCGTGGTCAAACATTGGAACAGGCTGCCCAGGGAGGTGGTGGAGTCACCATCACTGGAAGTGTTCAAAAAACATGTAGATGTGGCACTTCAGGACATGATTAGTGGGCTTGTGGTGTTGGCTTGATGGTTGGACTTAATGATCTTAAAGGTCTTTTCCAACCTTAAAGATTCTGTGATTCTGTGAATTTCTAAAGGTCTGGTTCTGGGACTGTGCTTACTTAAAATTTTCATAAATCATACTGGCATAGAAAGTAGCAGCATGTTAGTGATATTAAAAAGTGAGATATAGGCAACCCAGAGGAAAATTGGGATGGCATAGACAAAAACCTGGGATGACAAAGGAGAAGAAATTACTAGGAATAAATTGTGATTCAGTAGCACAAAATGCAACTTCATTTACCTAAAGCTGTATGCCATAAGATGGAAGTTCCTCAGTGGAAAATGAGGGTATAGGAGAAAAGGCTTGATGTATTAGTCAGTTCCAGGCGTTGATGCTACCCTGAAAAAGGCAACGAAATTCTACAGTGCGCAAAACGAGATATTTCCACTACATAAAGACAACTGTGAGTGGTCTTGTAAAAAGCAATGGTAACTTCTGCTGTGAAGTATGTTTTATAATGCTGTTTAGCCCTGGTCAAAAAAGTTCAATTTGCCCTTTAAGAAACACGGAAAAACATTACTTCAGCGCTCAGGGGAACAGAGTGTCTACTTGCAAAAGGAGGCAACCAGAGCTCATTGTAGCCTGGCAGAGTGAAGGCTAAGAGGTGTGTGGCTGCTGACCAGAAATACTGGTTTTGAACAACATAAAATAACAGTTTAAGACAAAAGATGATGATAACAGGAGCCAAAGGATATAGATAAACCACAAATGCTTTTTTTATTGAAAATTTGGAGTGTTTCTTTTACAGTGAGCTCCCAAGACAGCCTTCTTGTAGGATTTGGATGAGGCAAGAAGCCTTGCACAGTTCAAAGGAGGCTAATTCTCCTGCAGAAATCATTGAATTGCCAGTAAACGTGACAGAACATGGGACTGAGATTAATAATGCAAGAGATCTTTCCAGTACTGTTTTGTTTTTTTAATTTATATTGGAAACAGGATATCAACGTTGTTTGGAATACTTGTTCTTATACTGAATTTATTAAAATTTGTAATTTTTTTATATCGTCTAATAATGATAATGAACTGTGCTGGAATATTATATCACAAAAGACAGGGAGTTTTGTCACATAATTGTTGTTCAGTTTGTGTCAAAATGTACACAGCCTGTACTGTAAATGAAAATTAAACTCTGTAGATGGAGTTGTTATCTAAGTTGAGTAAACAGAAAAGGTGAAACCAACAAAATTACAGAAATCATGCCACATACTCCCAGTGAGCAGATTGGAAGTTCTTTCTTATACATCAAGTGACCCCATTCATCAGAGAGGCTGTTTTAAGCCCTGAGATAGAAAATTTAATATTATTTGCAAAATTACATGTGTATAAATTATAAGAATTTGTGCATATTGCCTTTCTGACTTCACTAAATTTTATTTAAAGTTGCTTGTCACACAGAAATGCAGTTATGCTGTTTTTGTTTAACCATATGGACCAGCAGCTCAGTCCTGTTTAAATTCTGATTTTTTATTTGATAGTGTCCCTTTAATGAACATAGCTTCCTTTCTGTTATTTGACCTTCATAAATGTTATATTGTTTGCTTTGGCAAGGAAGTCAGCAGCTCTCCTTGGGGAGAGGCACAGAGACATAAACAGTGCACTACCCAGCTTGTTTGTGAACGTATTTAAAATGTCTGAAATACATTATTTTAAAAATAACAAATAACAGATGCCTACAGCAGCAAAAGCAAGTGAGTTTGTATGCTGTTTGCTTTGTAAATAAATAATGGCTTTATAACAGTTGGCTTTTCAGACCTCCACAGTTTCACTCCTCCCTCTTAGTATTATTTTCACATTTTAGAGACACTTAGATGAATGTCTTCTGTCCTCTTCCCCCCAACCAGACTCTCTTACGTTATGTATAAACCTATGGACAAATAATGGTTGCTCTTTCTAAAAACAGTCTCTGACTTCAGTTTTCTGCTCCTTATTGCATACAGCTGCTGCTGCTCTGGAAGCAGAGGCCAAAGCTGGGTTCCTGAGTCGAATTTATTTTCTCTTGCTTCTCCTCTCCTCCCGGTGGTCCTGTGCTGTCAGGAGGCAAAACTTGGTCTGTCTGTCTTCTAGCACAGGCGTTCTGTCCATCTACACAGCCCAGCGTGGCCTGTGACTGTGCCCATAAGTGCAACCAAATGTGAACTTCCACATTGTGTTGGAAACGGGAGAGAACAGCGTCTGGGCTCTGTGGCACAAGCTCTTCTGTGGGATGCATTGCTGCAATACCATTTCTTAGGCAGCTGTAATTCGTAATAAGAATAAATACCTTGAATAACATTGATTTTAATTGGGTTGTAACATAAAATGGCAAAAGTGTTTTCTATGTACCCTTTGCTATTTAATGAGTAAGCATGTGATCTTTTCACTTAAATTGCGTTGCACCTTTATTTAACCTCTCTGTGGTTATGTATTAACTAGTTAGTACTTAATGAGTGAGTAGGTCTGTTCTACACCAATGGCTGTCTTTTATTAAACGCTTTGTTTTGCTTGGGAAATCATAATAAGCAAGGAAGATGACTAAATCCTGCAGCTATGGGCAAGTAAAAATAGCTTTACAGCAGGGTAAATATTTAAAAAACAAAAAAGACAAGCTGTTTAATAGGTAATTTCTGAAATCTTCTGCACATGACGCTGCAAATGCTTCAGCAAGCTATGGGAGTTTAGGCTAATTATTCTTCAGAGGCTGTACTTCCTAAGAAAAAATACCATATGAATAGTATGAAGTTTTTCCATGGTGTAATCTTAGAAGTGAGATTCATAAATGAGACCTTTTTCTGATAACAATCGTTTGTCAATTTATTATCGTCACCAAGAACAATGGCATTTCTACAGTTAGTTTTGACTCGGAAATTACTTTTCCCTGAAATGTGTTCTTTTATTATTGCTATAAGAGATATCTAGGAATATGGTAACTGAAAGCAATTAGAAGGGAGGAAAAAAAATGTTTTTTCTCTGCTTACCTTCTGCTATTGACATCATTGTGTACGTAGTTGGTTTCACCATTTCCTTTCTGTGCTTCTCGGAGCCTGATCCTGTAAACACCTGTGCATGTAATTTCACTCAAGTGAGAAGTAGTAGGATTGTGCAGATGCCTAACATTTTACATAAGTGAAAGCAAGTGATGAGACAGTTTTCCTATTCTTCATGAGGTTTTTCATAGAGCAACAGAAAAAGTTTCCTGTTATAAACCAATTGTGAAACCAGCAAAATCGGGAGAATGATACAAGAAGCCATACAGTATTTGAAACAACTTTTTTTCTAAAGGTGGTTCATTGTCAACATGACTGCCTCATCCTAATTTTAAACTGGTTTCTTATTTAAAAGTGAGAGTTCCAGACCCTAATTTAGAGTCTGACAATTGAAGCGGGCCTGATGGATTGGTAGTGGAATGTTAAAACAGCAAAGCAGTTTCTGAACGCCAAATGGCAGAAAACACAGCAATGCCAACTTGTCTTGAAGATCAGAAAGTTTCTGAACACCTTGTTATCCAAATTTATTGTTTTCTGTGATATTTTTATGCTAGAGAAGAGACCTCTGCAACAAAGACATGCAGGAGAGTAGTAAAGATCACTACAGAGTTCAGAATCTAAATTATATTGGTTAGTTTGCATTTTATTCATCAGAGTTTATTTATAAATCATAATTTGTTGTTTTATTAACAAGAGTTGTGCCCCTTGGGGTTTTACCTTATGCTTCATTAGATTTTACGAAGCCATATTTAGTAGGAATTATGAGGACTGACTTTTGACGGCTTCTAGGTGGCAAGCCTGCAAACTCAGTGCGGTTGTACAGAGACAAATGTAATTCTCTTTACCCAGGTTAATAAAACATCCTTTCAGCTAAATTAAGTTTAGAGTTAGGAGTCTTTTCCTGATCTGCTTTGTCTCAATTTAGTGGAGGCAATGCTATAAATCTGCAGGTGGGTTTAGTTTTTAATTTAGAATGTTTCGGTGCATTCTTTTGCTCTGATGTATTTTTAACTTTTAATCCTTCGTAGTGCGATGGAAAGCCATTCCCTCCTAAATCCAAACCTACAGCAAGGTGAAGGAGTTCTTTCCAGTTTCCGCACGACATGGCAAGAGTTTGTGGAAGACCTGGGCTTCTGGAGGGTGCTGCTCCTCATCATTGTCATTGCTCTTCTGTCGCTTGGAATAGCATACTATGTTAGTGGGGTGCTTCCTTTTGTAGAAAACCAGCCTGAACTGGTGCACTGAAGCAAATGCAAAGTAGTGCATTGTGCTTTTCCCTGTTTTCATCTTATTTTGAGCTTCTTGGAATTCTTTTGGTGCAGGCAGTGGCAGCTATATATACTGTTTGCCTTTTGTACTTATTAACCCCTTTGAAAGAGGGATTAATTCATTTCAAGTAAAACACTAAATTCTAAAGCATTCATCAGCTACCTCTGACTTATCTTGACTTGTGAGCAAGATGTGAAGATAATCCTCTCTGTTGATAAAATATTATGATTAGAAAAGGCCTTTCATAATGAATATTAAATTCCTGGCATGAAAAATATATCCTAGTATAGACCAATTTGATTTATTTTCCCTATGAAGAGAGGTAAATCAATTGATGCATTTTTTTGTATGTGCTTCAGTTGAAAGAAAAATATTCCTTTAAAAGTCCAACTCAAGAAATCTGAATAATACAATAACACATTCTGATGTATAGACAGTAATAAGCTGCAACTTCGTAGTTCTCATAGTGCCTCCCCATAGTTTCAGATCTGCTAGTTTATAAGAAGAATGAGAAACAGTTCAAGTTTTACTATGTCTTTAATGTATAGATTACTTCTTTATTTATTAGGTTAATGTAGTGATTCTTCCCCAGATTAATTTGATGTTGTTAATACCTGTCTGAAGTAAATTTTGTAGAACAATGCTGTTTGTTGTGCTTTGGAAGTAAAGTTGTTTCAGCCTTAGGCTGAATATTTTGCTGTTTTGTTGAAATGTTACTAAGCAAACCTTTCTTTGTTAGGGCGGTTAAAAAGTGATTTAGGTGTTCTGCTCTGTATATAATAATTCTGCAAGGCCATTGTCTTGTGTGAAATATGTCATGAAGGATAACTTTTTCTTCCTCCCACACGGACCAGACTGAACCATATAATTGTATTATTTTCATGTTTGTGGAGAGGACTTGATTGAATAGAATTCCTTTCTAGAATTGTTTTCCATTTCAGTTGTTTTCAGACAGCACTTACAGGCTTATGAATTAGTTTGTGAGTATGCAGAATAAAAGTATTTAAAACGTTAATATTCAGGAACATTGTATGAAATGAAATCTTGACCCATTCTGTACTTAGCTGTGAAATCCTTTGTTTGTAAATAACCTAGGGATACGAATCGGTTAAAATACTCTTTTATGAAGACTAGAAAGGTACTACATAGTTAGTTGGAGGTTTTCAAAGAAAGCAGATTCTCTCCTTCCATGCTGGTTAGACATCTAACTCTTGTTGTTGCCATTGCCTTGAAAATCCGAAACAAAATGAATTCTGCAAACCTAATGAATCTTTTTTTTTCTTAGCCAATCCTAAACTGTTGCGAAATAACATCAAACATTTATAAAATTATAAATTACAATAAGTATTGATAGAAGTACCTACATCTCTCTGTTCTGCTACCATGTATATTTTTCTTTCTTGTTCATGGGTTTGAGTGAAGAGAGTTGTTGTCTTGTCTTTGTTTTGATGTGTGGCATGGGCTTCCCTGACCTGGGCCCCATTCTAAATTGCATCTGAATAATTCTTGATCGTATTACTTTAGTTAGAGGTTAATGAAACAATACTTTTCTAGCAGCTGCAATGCCACAAAAAGGAAAGTCTCTTAAAAAATAAAAAATATAATAAAAATAAAAAAAAAGAACATACTCCTCTTCTGAATATTTCAATATTGATTCAGTATGTTCATGAACAGAGAAATATAAACTCATAGTATACCTAAATTGCATTTACTTCTCTAAATAAGTGCATTTCTCTTAATAATACTCTGTATCTTGAATAATCATGTTGTCTTTCAGTATGTATTATCTGCATAATTTGTAATTGTATTCTCAGTATGGGTGAATGCCACAAATAAATATATGTAGTAAATATGTTTTGTTTTATTATTGCATTAGTGCAGCGGTAATGATGCTACCCCATTTTACTGAGTGAATTTGGTTGTTGTGTATTGATAATGAGCATTTCAGAAGTGGGGAGGTTCCTTCCCTGAGAAATGGAAACCACGCTGTTGGTTTAAATGAGGTTTTAGAACACAGTTTCTTTAGATTTGCCTGTTTTATTTTCAGTATTGTTACTGAATCACAGTTGCTGTCTGTCTGTCTCTCTCTAATCTAAAATTTCAGGTATTGAACAGGTGATCTAGAGGCCCCTCAAGACTTAAGATTACTTATGAGGGGGTACAAAATATAACCAAGAAAACCAAAGCTTGAACCTTAAGTAGCCTTTCCTGCTTTGCTGTACAGGCGTATGCATAAGCAGTTTAGGAACTGCGCATTGAAAAGTTTTGAAAAATCATGTGTGTGTTCCAAATGAACTTATATCCCTTTGGAAACCCAACGAAATCCAGAGCACGCTGTTTGAACTTCACTGTGTAACAACTGCTACTCTTTGAAATAAGGATGTGATCAACGTCTGACTAAAAGAGGAGTTTATTCTGTACATACCTCTGTTATTGAAAAAGGACAGCTGCACCTTTCAGTATATCTATAAACACTAATGACTTCCTTTTCAAAGGTTGATTCTAAAGAATGAATTTACCTCCTGTACGCTAGATTTCAAGGAATACAATCTGTCTTTCTTACAGGAACAGAAAGAGGACTTTAGCCTACTTCCTACTGAAGCTTTTGTCATAGGGAGTTTCACTGTTCAGCATAATGGCATAGATCAGTTTAGATGGTCTGCTGGTCAATAAGACTTCTTTTATTTATTATTGCAGTGGTGTCTAGATACCTTGATCCAGGGACCCCATTTTGCTAGGCCCTCTTCAGATCCAAGGCAGATTGCTGTCTCGAGCTGTTCTCAGGCTAACGAGATAAAACAGAATAAGAAAGTGAGAGAGAAAATAACCGTGAATGATGAAGTGATTTTTTTCCAGCGTCATAAAACAACTTTGTGGACAAGATAGTGCAAGGTAAATTGGAGTGTAAAATGGATGCCCATAGGCTACTCTGCAGTGGGCTGTCCCTGCGCTCACGTTTATTCCATGCCAAGATCACAGCTATCTTACCTCATAGTAACATGTTCACGTACCATATCTCTTTATCTTCAAAGGCTTCTGTTTTCACTCGTATTGGTAGTTTGCTTTGTAGAAGGGGATGATCTGTTGTGTGACTGTCACAGATAGGCATTGTTTCTGGTTGCTGCAGTATAACAGGTATTTCATTACTGGACGTGATCAGGCACCGTGAGGTGTATCATCATGACAAGCTCCTGTGGGAGGAAGAACATGGTTTCACTTTAAAGTATTGAAACAGAAGATCCGGGCAGGTTCTGGGTCTGCAGCTGATCTAAAGTTTGATTTTAGCATGAGTCAACCAATCCCACTGGCAGTTTTTCATATCTTAAGTAAGTAAAAATAATCAACTCACCAGTGTAGATGGGCTAGTTAGCTAGGTAGCTCTTTTTCTAATCAAAATATGTTTGGTCATAATACGTTAAAGAAATGCAAATTAAATAATTTATTCAGAAATTCAGTAGCATCATTTTAAAGTAGTACTTAGAAAGTACAAATTGCAAGTGAAAACTCTCCTGTAAACTCAAAAAATGGATATTATCTATTGTCATATTCAGAATTTTCAAAAGTCTAGCTTACATTTAAACATTACCTGAAGTTGACCTTTAACAGAACTGATTTCTTCCTCAGCTGACACAAAGGTTACTTTGTTTCTGAAGCCAGTTGTTCCTGAAGTTATTCCTGTTTCTGAAGGCAGCTCTTTGTTAAATTGTCACTTGATTCATATTTGAATTGGTGGTTAAAATAAGTCTTAAATGATGTGAGAATTAAGTCAGAATGCTTTTCCTTCATTCAGTGTTCTTTTCTTACATTTCAGTGTTAATCCTTGTAGATTGCTTACTTGGGATATACTTTGTAAAATCTACTAAGTGATGCAAAATGTTACAGAAATTGTGACTGCCAACTGTTACTGCATTTCTCACCCCTGGTGTTGGGGCTGCCTAGAAGAATTCAAATGTCATTGCACAGTTTCGTAACCTGCAGTTCTCTGTAAACTTGGGAAGTGCTGAAGTACTGTTGAGTCATGAATCTTGAATCCCTGTTAATATTATGAAATTAATTTCTGGTGACAGTCGAGATAATTCTGTTACTGCACTTGCAGGGTAGTATGATGCACCTGCTACCTTAAACTTCAGTACTTCAGGTGAATTTTGTGGTGCCTGGCATCTTTTGTACTGCTCTTACAAATGCTTCAAAGAAGGAAGACTTTTAAAATACACAGTATTAGGAAACAAGTGCACCTAATAGGTAGCTCTTTGCTATTTATTGCCGGGAAGCAAAGTGTTCCCAGGGTCACGCTGCCAGAGAAATCGGAGATGAAAACTAGGAGTCTCCGACTGACAGTGATCTGGTGTAGTCTGTGCTCTTATGCAAAGCAGAACCTACGCTCTGATGTTGCAGCTGAAGCAGTCTGTATACAGAACCCTGAAAAATGTGTCTTGCTGTCGGCATTTACAGTTTTTAAATCTTTGCTGTAACCAAGCATTAAGCAACTAATATTTCCTAATGACTATGATGAGACAAAACTATTGTTCTTCATTACTACCAAGGGAATTGGAAATCTACTGGAAATTGCCATAACTAAAAAGCAACAAATCAGAATTTCTTCTGAAGTCGAAGTGTGGACAAGTCACAACAGTGGCTTCAAGTGACACGCTCTTTCTGCTTGTGATTTTAAACTACCTTCTGAATAAGGAAAAATGAGGAGACGTTGGGAACAGAATTTGTTGTGTGGTACGTATATGGTTTGCAGAATGTAGGAGAGTAACGAATGCAGTGAGACAAGACAGCAGCAAGGGAGGCAGAACAGTGTGATACCTTCATGAATCACAGCCTAAAGGCCAGTCCCAACGCTCGTACGAAGTGCAAGGAGTGACCAGCAATAGCCTCCTAGCAGGAGGAGGATTTCACTGGCTTGTGATTACACCATCTCACAGGGGTGGCCATGCAGCTCTGCAACCTGAGCTGGCCCTTCTTGACTTTCAACGTCTAGAGCGCTGCTATTTCAGACAACTGCATGTTTGAATGTGTGCCTACATTAACAGCTGCTCATGTGGAAGCCAAACTGGTTCCTCTTATACAGGAATCCTTCTGCACATAGGTTAGCAAAAGAAGTTTTACCAATGTGAACAGAAGTTCTTTGTAAAACATCCAATATTTCTGGTGTATTAAATTATGTTTATCTGAATATCAGAAGGCAGGAAGCCAGATGAAGGATCAAGTGTGTGCAATAATACCTCATTTTCCTTTGCCAAAGAATAAAGAACAGATAACATTCTCTTAATGCAAAGCAAGACTAAAGTCATAGTAAGTTTGTTTTGCACTGTAGAA